GAGAGATAATAGAAAACAAGAGTTGGGCAATATGCCCCAGACAGGATATCAGGTAACAGGGATACAATTAGATAAAACTTAACAGTAACATAAAGGATACATTAAAACAGATTAAGGTAGCAATTGAGGTGATCAGCCTCTTTGGATTGAAATCAGAACTGCAGTTTCAGGGTATTTTAGGATACTTGCAAATAATAGGAAAGTCTAGAATATCCAGGTAGGTTGGAACAAAATCAATAAGAAAACAAAGTCCAGTATAGAAATAGGTCCATTTAAGAGATCAGGTTGGAATGAATCAGGATGGTTCAAAGTAATCAGAGTAGAGCAGGTTTTCAGGTATCACTAAGAACCAGGTTCAGAACAACAACTTCTCTCAATGTAATGGCAACTCCTTTAGTTGGGTGTCGTCTTTTATAGCAGGTTTGGATTATCATGCTATGCAGGTGAGAGCGACTGAGGTTTGTCTAGTGGTTAGGGAGGCCACTAGTGGTCAAACTGTAATTGTAGGAAATAAAACAGAAGAAATTAAGCATTATTTGAGTTGTCAGGATAAGATTTTGACACTTACACTGAAACGGAAACTTTAGAAGTGGAAACAGTATCTAAGCAGACTATAACTATGTGTTATTTAAAATGGTTTCCGCCACTATGTTGACATTAAAGGAACACTATAGTCACCTAAATTACTTTAGCTAAATAAATCAGTTTTAGTGTATAGATCATTCCCCTGCAATTTCACTGCTCAATTCACTGTCATTTAGGAGTTAAATCACTTTGTTTCTGTTTATGCAGCACTAGCCATACCTCCCCTGGCTATGATTGACAGAGCCTGCATGAAAAAAAAAAACTGTTTTCACTTTCAAACAGATGTAATTTACCTTAAATAATTGTATCTCAATCTCTAAATTGAACTTTAATCACATACAGGAGGCTCTTGCAGGGTCTAGCAAGCTATTAACATAGCAGGGGATAAGAAAATCTTAATTAAACAGAACTTGCAATAAAGAAAGCCTAAATAGGGCTCTCTTTACAGGAAGTGTTTATGGAAGGCTGTGCAAGTCACATGCAGGGAGGTGTGACTAGGGTTCATAAACAAAGGGATTTAACTCCTAAATGACAGAGGATTGAGCAGTGAGGCTGCAGGGGCATGTTCTATACACCAAAACTGCTTCATTAAGCTAAAGTTGTTCAGGTGACTATTGTGTCCCTTTAACACCTTAAGGACACATGACATGTCTGACATGTCATGATTCCCTTTTATTCCAGAAGTTTGTTCCTTAAGGGGTTAAGTCAGAGGGGAAAATCAAGCATTTTGAGTAGATATTCATTGTTTATTTGTTCTTTAATCCTCATATAATGTTCAAGCAGGTTTGCCACTGTATTATTTGGTTTGGGGATTGCTGACTTCACAAGATATAGATTGTGTGCTGCAAAGGACACCAACAAATTCACAATCTTACAGAGCTTTCACCATATTTGAAGCACCATGGGTTTGTGCCTGACTGCTCTTCTAGCCATCCTCTAAATTACATGCTGTAACAGAGAACCAGTCCTGGCAGGGAATTTTCCCTCCACTGGATCTGTCATGACAGGAACTCTGGAACAAGGAGCTGAAATGTGAATAGCTTTATTCCCCCCAGTAACCGGACAACACACAGTTCTGGGAGCACAACTGGTTTATTTAGCTCAAACACAGTCTTTTGTGCACAGACCCCCAGCATGGGGTCTCCATACAAAAAATACACAAGTCCCTCCCAGTTGACTCAGTGTCTAAGAGATCATTGAGTCAAAACCCAAATAACTCAATTATCTCTCAGATACAGGAAAATATATGGCATAGATACAAAATACCTCAAAAACACAGTCATATTTCACAGGAACCCCACAATTCGTATATCCCCAAATATCTCTGATCTGAGCACCCAACATATCCAAGGGAGATGTAGTCCAAAACACCTGGAGGGCCGCAGATTGCCCACCCCTGGTGTAGAGGATCTAAAGCAGGGGTCCTCAAACTCTGGCCCCCAAGATGTTGCTGAACTACAACTCCCATGATTCTCTGGCTATCTATGTAATTCAAAGAATCATGGGAGTTGTAGTTCAGCAACATCTGGGGGGCCGGAGTTTGAGGACCCCTGATCTAAAGTGTGTGCTTATGCAATGTAGTGAATAGGGATGCCAGTTTGTGTAGGTGATGCAGTGTGTGTGTGTAGTGGATGCAGTGTGTAAGGGATAGAAAGCAGTGTGTGTTTGTGTGTAAGGGATGTATTGTGTTTTTCTGGTTGTGTGTAAGGGATGCATTGTGTGAATCTGTGTTTGTATGTGTAAGGGACGCAAGGTGTGTTTCTGTGTATGTAAGGTATGCAGTGTGTGTCTGTAAGGGGTGCATTGAGAGTGTGTAAGGGATGCATTGTGTTTCTGTGTTTGTGTAAGAAAAGCAGTGTGTGTTTGTGCGTGTGTGTGTGTGCATGTAAGGGATGCATTGTGTGTTTCTATGTGTAAGGGAATGCATTGTGAGTTTCTGTGTATGTGTGCAATGGATGCATTGTCTTTGTGTGTAAGGGTTGCATTGTGTGTGTGTGTGTATGTGCGTGTGTAATGGATGCAGTGTGTGTGTGTAATGGATGTATTGTGTGTTTCTCTGTGTGTATGGGAAGCATGGTGTGTTTCGTGTGTGTAGGGATGCATTGTGTGTTTCTGTGAATGTATAGGGCCCGGAGCTCCTGGTGGTGCCGCTTCCTTAGGCGACTGCCTAAGTCGCCTATAGGATGTGCCGGCCCTGAATATGAAGCACCCCTTTTAGCAATCATCTGGCCAATAAGTCATGTGATTTTATTGGTCTGCTGTTTGGACAAGACCCTGGTGTGAAATCTCCCAAACTGTGAGGCCATAGAATTTTTCTTAAAAGAATCTGGACATTTTAAAGTGGAACAAATTGATTTTATATTAAAAGGTATATGCATTATTCTCAAAAACTATTTTTTTTGGTTTGAGGAAGAATTTTATATTCAGAAAAGAGGCATGGTTTTTGGGACCAAGTTCGCGTCCAGTTATGCCAACTTGTTTATGGCATATTGGGATAGATCTTTTATATATTGTGATAAAATTAAGGCAGACAGGCCTATAACATTTAACCCAAGGGGGAGTATGTGTAGTATGTGCTGTAGGCAACACAAACCAAGTTTAGTTATGAGCCCCTGGGGTGGAGCATTTGGAGAGCAGGGTGGGCCAATGCTCCACTCCGCAGTTTGCATACAACTGGGAGAAATAAGTTCCAGGCAAGAGTTTTGATTTGTCTTCAACCCACTGCTCAGCTGCAGATAATCAGCTGCAGCAGTGGGAATAAACCCCTCCCTGCTAGCCAGGTAAAAGGGGGATTGCTGGCTTCCTCCCTGGAAGTAGGTAGGAGAGACGCTATTCTCTCCTGTGAGAGAGTCAAGGAGACTAAGCACTGGGAGTGCAGAAGGAAAGCAGTCAAGGCTGGCTTGGAGCACTGGGAGTGCAGAAGGAAAGCAGTTAAGGCTGGCTTGGAGCACTGGGAGTGCAGAAAGAAAAGCAGTTAAGGCTGGCTTGGAGCACTGGGAGTGCAGAAAGGAAAGCAGTCAAGGCTGGGTTGGAGCACTGGGAGTGCAGAAAGGAAAGCAGCAGGCTAGCTGAGAGCACTGGAGTGCAGAAAGGAGAGAGCATTTTGTTTCTTTCTAGAAGGAATGGAAGCCACATGCTAACTGAGTGTGGAGTGCAGAGATCTGGCAAAGGCACTAGGTTGGTGAAACCAATTATTGTTCTGTTATAGTTTAAACCCTTGAGAGATAGGGAACTTGATGTTAGTAAGTGCTCAGACCGAGCTAGGTTTTTGTTTATAGGGATTTGTGTTACTGTTTTTTTTCATTTGCTGCTGTATCTGTGGTGGAGTTTAACAATAAAGTGCCTGGAATTAAGTTGCCTTAAAAGACTGTGCATGTTTGTGCCCAAGAGGACTGTGCTACGTGCAGACAAGGATCACAATATGCAGATCCTGACTGGGTGGCGAAATTGGTCCTCTTTAAGAGATACATTGATGATACCCAAGACAAATTTACATCAGATATCAGTACCCACAAAGACCACTTTTTGATTTAAATAATTTTTATTGAATAAGATTTGATTAAAACCAGCACTTTAAAAAAAAAAAAAAACAGTTGACATTTAAAGGGACTCTCCAGTGCCAGGAAAACATATCCGTAATAATAAACAACTAGTAGTATAAACAAATAACTTGGAAAGGTATTTTAGAATGTGAAATGGTACATCTTCACCTATAGTCGTGAGTGTGGTTTAGAAAGGTCGGAGCTGGAGGGGATGAGGAATGGTGGTAGTCGTGGGAGCAAACCGGGTCTAGTCATGCCCAGTACGTCTGCCATGTCCAGCCTGTTCGCGCCATGCGGCCTTCTTAAAAGCTCGCTGATGTCAGCTGAAAACCCGGGCCGATCTGGCCTTGGTTTCTTGTTCTTCCTCCCCATTTACTAGCGGGCACCTTTTGGCCTCCACCAGTGCGATTTCTGTGCAAGATATATCCCATTTCTTGAGACTTTTTATGCCGATTCGACGGAGCTCCACCGACATACGACCCCTCCACTCCGCTCCATCCCACTTTTATTTGTGATTTTAACTCTCAAAGCTATGGTTTTAAAAAAATCCTTAATAAACATTGGCACATTATAAAACAGAGTGAATATCTTCAGACCTATACAGGAGAAAAACCTAATATTGTATATAGGGGAGCAAGTAACCTTTAAAAAGTCCTGACAAGGAATCATATCCATAAGGAGAAGCAAAAGATAAAGATGTTTATGGGAATTACCTTAAAGGTTTTTATTATTTTGGACATTGTAGAGCCTGCAAAGTAACTAAAATCATATCCAAAACAACAAATTTGTTTCCACTGTGACAAAAAAAAAGAATATGATGTGAAAGATTTTATCACCTATAATTTGATTTATATTTTAACATATGATGGTGGGCTACAGTACACTGTGACAACCACAAGACCCTTAAAGGTTAGAATTAGTGAACACTTAAAGAACATACAAAATGGGGTCCTTAGTCATTCTGTCTTCACTCATTTTAATGAAGCTCATAATAGTGATTGCAAATTTGTTCACTTAATTGGAATTCAGTAAGTGAAAAGACCTTGGAGTGGTAGTGGCCAATCCTTAAAGGACCACTCTAGGCACCCAGACCACTTCAGCTTAATGAAGAACCTGCTATGTTTATACTGAGGGTTAATCCAGCCTCCAGAGCCTCTAGTGGCTGTCTCATTGACAGCTGCTAGAGGCGCTTGCGTGCTTCTCACTGTGAAAATCACAGTGAGAGCACGCAAGCGTCCATAGTAAAGCATTGAAAATGCTTTCCTATGCGACCGGCTGAATGCGCGCGCGGCTCCTGCCGCGCATGATAATTCAGCCGATGACGTTGCGAGCAAGGAGGAGAGGAGGAGTACAGCTCCCCGCCCGGCGCTGGAGAAAGGTAAGTGTTTAACCCCTTCCTCTCCCCAGAGCCGGGCGGGAGGGGGACCCTGAGGGTGGGGGCACCCTCAGGGCACTATAGTGCCAGGAAAACGAGTATGTTTTCCTGGCACTATAGTGGTCCTTTAATAAAACAGAGATGAAGTGGATCTTTGACATGGAGACACTCTCTCCAAATGGTTTAAACATAGACTTTGATATAGTTACATAGTTACATAGCTGAAAAGAGACTTGCGTCCATCAAGTTCAGCCTTCCTCACATTTGTTTTTTTGCTGTTGATCCAAAAGAAGGCAAAAAACCCAGTTTGAAGCACTTCCAATTTTGCAACAAGCTAGGAAAAAATTATTTCTTGACCCCAGAATGGCAGTCAGATTTATCCTTGGATCAAGCAGTTATTACCCTTCATTGAAAGATTATATCCTTGAATATTCTGTTTTTGCAAGTATGCATCTAGTAGCTGCTTGAACATCTGTATGGACTCTGATAAACCACTTCTTCAGGCTGAGAATTCCACATCCTTATTGTTCTTACAGTAAAAAACCTTTCATTTGCTTTAGATGAAATCTTCTTTCTTCCAGTCTAAACGCATGACCTTTTGTCATATGTAAAGTTCAGTTTGTGAATAGATTTCCACACAATGGTTTGTATTGGCCCCAAATATATTTGTATAATGTTATCATATCCCCTCAGGCGAAGTTTTTCTAAACTAAATAGGTTTAAATTTGTTAACCTTTCTTCATAGCTGATATGTTCCATTTCTTTTATTAATTTTGTAGCCAGACTCAGTACTTTTTCTAGTGCCATAATATCTGTCTTTAGAACAGGTGCCCAAAATTGCACAGCATATTCAATATGCGGTCTTACCAGTGATTTATAAAGAGGCACAATTATATTCTCGTCTCGAGAATGAATGCCCTTTTTCATGCATGACAATACCTTACTGGCCTTGGCCACTGCTGATTGACATTGCACATTGTTGCATAGTTTGTTGTCTATAACATAATAATTCCCAAGTCCTTTTCGTGTGTTGTTATCCCTAATTCGCTTCCATTAAGGGTATACGTTGCTTGTGTATTCTTTACGCCGAAGTGCATAACTTTGCATTTTTCAACATTAAATTTCAGCTGCCATTTGAGTGCCCAGTCCCCCAGTCTATCTAAATCCCTTTGCAGCAAAGTAATAGCTTGCTCACATTGTATAATTTTACAGAGTTTTGTGTCATCTGCAAACACTGAAACATGACTTTCAATGCTTTCTTCAAGATCATTTATAAACATGTTAAACAGAAGGGGTCCCAGAACAGACCCCTGATGGACACCACTTGCCACCTCTGTCCAGCTTGAACATTTACCATGAACGACAACTTTGTACTCTATTTTTAAGCCAATGTTCTACCCAAGAACAAGCATTTTCATCTAGACCGATTTCCTTGAGTTTGAACACTAATCTATTGTGTGGAACTGTATTAAATGCCTTGGCAAAATCCAAATAGATCACATCCACTGCAACACCCTGATCTATACTTCTACTTACTTCTTCGTAGAATGCAATCAAGTTAGTTTGACATGACATGTGCTTCATAAAACTGTTGTAGAATTATTAGGCCTCTATAAATCTGTAAGGCCCCTTTAAATCCTCTTGTTATACCTCTAAGAGGCCCCCATAGTTTTACAAGGAAGCTTTGTCTATAGAACATAGAATTTGCATGTCAGCAAGAAATAGCTTTGATAAAATGTGTATTTACTAAAATCCTTGAAACTTAACCTTGAGAAACTAACAAGTGCCAGCTACGCTCCAAATGGATAGCTGCCAAAAGGCCCCTCCCGTCGAGTGAGCTCCTCATTTTAGCAAGATGGCGCTAAAACCTGTAGGAGTTAAGAAATTACGTAGATAGTGACCTAAGAATGGGGAGGGCATTTTACTAACATCTTAGCACCTAAGCCAATTAACAATGTCTATTTGTCTATATCTTGATTTTCTTCAATGATGTAATAATGCCTTTATAAGGGTCTGCGCACCCATTTTCTGTCAGAAGCCATTAAACTTCTCTGAAGTTCTTTCATTACCCTGAACCTTGTGTCTCAGTGTGAATTTACTTCAGCGTGCACGCAACTTTATTATCTTTAATTTGGACAGGAACAGATAGTCATTCAAACTAATTGGTTTGCAGTAAATCATCTAGAACAATTGGCGCTCTCAACGTGGGGCTCTGGGCTATGTCCAGTCTGGGCAGCTGTCCAAGAAGACGCTGGGGGGGCTAAATCCTGGGGGAAGGAAAAGAGCCTGATCACCTCTGAATACACGGTAGAGATTGCTGCAGCACCTAGCCGGTATGTTCCTACCCCTGTGATTGACCTGCCCCAGTGTCTGTGACTGCTGCCGAGAGGACATCAAAGTCAGGTAATAACTTGCCCAGAGTCTTTGTATTGTTAATGATACCTAGTTTACCTGCATGTGGACTATCTGTTGCCTGGGTGTGTTTGTATTGGTATGTGTTTAACTTAGTACCCGGGGAGTGTAAGTGCCTGTTTAACCCCTTTTAGGTACCACATGCCTGTGGTAGTAAGGAAAAAGGGGGGTGGACCTGTGGAAGTTTTCCTGGGGGTCCTCTATTGCCTGTTTAACTCTTTTAGGAGCCACGTGGCTGTGGCTGTAAGGAAAAAGAGTAGGGGGGATCTGTGGAGGGCAGTAGACTCACTGCTTCCTGGGGATCCCCAGAGTGTCATTTTGACCACTTAGCTAGCCTCATCAGACACTTCTTCTTGGTAAAATTCCAGTCTCAAGCGCTGAGACAGGTAAGATTCCAATTCTTTAGGCTATACAGGATTCGGGTTGGAAGCTGTTGCTGTTTCCTGTGGCTGCTGGTAGTGAGACTTGCGGGTAGGTCCGCAACAGGGACACTACGAGGTTGAGGGAGGTGGCTTTTGGCCACACGAGTAAAGGCAAGGGATAAAACTGTTGAACTTATTTGAACTGTGATGCATGCACTGTATTTACACTGAAATGTTATTGTCTTAATTGTCTGTCACACAGATTCCTGTGTTTACTTCTATCTTACTCACTGTACTATTTACACTTTCCCCTCCTATTTCTCTTTCTCTTTTTTGAGAGAAGTGATTGGTCACACACTTCTCGCCACGCTCCAATCCGCGGCTACCACGGGTAGGCGGAATCAGTGACTAGTCTACGTTTTGGGAAGACGTACTTAAAGAGCTTGCTCTTACAGTAGCAGTCGAGCACGGTAGACGTTCTGTTCCTTTCTCTCTCTATATCTGGGACGCCTTGTATAGGGAGGATGGGACAGAAGTTAGATAAACCCAGTTAGGGTTGGTTAGCATGTGATCTAGTGGAAGACAGAGAAGGAGAAGAGATGGTTAAGAAAGTGAGTAAGATTGCTAAAGTATGTGGAATTACCGTACCTCTGTGCGGCAGATTGTAGCCAGAGAGCTGGCGTAAGTTACTGACAGAAGAAAGGGAAGCTGTTGGACCAAGATTTGGTTTGTACAGCAGAAGCCTGATACCGAGTAGCAAGAGCTATTCAGCAAAAGGGATAGGTTGAGGAAGATATTGATCACAAAGGTTTAAGATTGTATGTATATCATAATAATTGTGTTACTGGGAAGTTATCCCAGCCAGTGCCCTGTCCAGGAGGTGACCACTTCCATCATCCTGTCAGTAATGACCGAAATGTAGCTGACCATGGTCACCATCCCACCCCAATCTTAAAACGCTGTGGGGGTTTTGTATTTTGTGTTAGCCATTACCCTGGTAGAGGGTGGGGGTATAAATGAAATGTTGTGTTTTTGTGTCTCTTTGCTTTGTAATGTAATTGTCCTTCTGTCTTGTTACTGTACAGCGTTGACATGGTTAAATTCGTGCTGGCAGGCAGTCTCTCTCTTGTTCCACTCAAATCCCCCTCTGCTAAAACTCCCCCCCCTCCCCTCGCTTCTGTGAGACGCGGGGGGGAGGGGGCGGAGGGGGGTGGTGACATGCTTGCGATTTAGGTCTGTCTCTTCGGTGTTCTGTAGAGTTATTCAGAAGCTACTGATAAGAGTATAAGGTACTGAGGATTGTGGGAGTGACGAGCTCACAAGATTGCATTCAGTGTTGAATACGGGATTTAGGAAGGTGTAGAGGGAATATGCGATGTTGTTAAGTCAGTATAAGAGGGAAAGTGATTAATGGTTTGAGGAAGATAAGGGAATTTGGTTGAATTCCGCGAGTTTATCTTGCATCATTTTAAAGAACATGTTTCTAGAAGACAGCTGTATGGGCTGTTAAATGCATAATGTTTTCAACTGTCTTATTTAACCTGCCAGGTCTGTTCATAGTTTAGTATTCCATTTTGCAGAACAGAATGTTGCTTCTCTGACTTATTTTAATAGTTTTAATATAGTGTATGGTTGAAAGTACGTCAACCACCACCCTAAAGATGGCGCCTGTCAGTCCCGTGACCTATCCACAGTCACGGTTGCTTCTAAAGTAACGTCACTTCCGCCCTTACCATGCCCACACCTCCTGTCTTCCTTTCCCACACATATCATGGACGTCACCCCTCTCACTTCCTCCCTTGCTGTCATTTCCTTCCCCGCCCCTGTCATGGCTGCCTCCATCATGAGGCCTACCCCTATTAGAGACATGTGGTTTTCCTTACACTCTACATATTATGAACTGAAACATTATAATTACTAAAACAATCATG